TTACAAGCAAAGTATAATTGTAATTTTGAATTGTAATTAATATATAAGTACATTATTACATTACATTTGCTATTATTAATTACATTTGTTGCGACTTTTTCGTGATGAAGGAATGTAAATACATGTAGGGTAGACCTGTCAAGAGTAATGTTAAGTATGGAATAGGTAGGGAAGGAGAGTGTGTACAGTGTCAAAGAGAGGGTTGTACCATAGGAATGGTTGTATGTTGGTATTGTTGCAAGTGTGTGCTTGTCAACTGTTGCTTACACTACAGAGTAGGAAGTATACAAATGTATAGAAACATTGAAGAAGTCATTTGGTATTAGTCAACATACAGATGCACAAATGCAAATGTAAAAAGGAAGGCAAGCATAAACAAAGGAGGACAATGAAGGAGAGGCAACACAAGTAGCAGAGCAAGGAGTAGGAGGGGTGGAAGGGAGACAAGAAGTTAGGAGGAGAGGGATGAGTAACTATTGTGCAAGTTATTATGAAGTAGACTGGCTACTTACACTTTACACTGAAGTACAGTATAGCCAGCTGGGTTGTGTTGTCACAGGATCTGAGGCTCAGTACAGGCATTACAGTAGCAGATTAGAGAGACAAATACAGTAATATTTATTGTCCAGGTGGTTGCAGGCAGTGTGCCTGCTGGAGGATGCTTGTAGGCAGAGGAATGGACTGGAGGGAACAGAAGAGACAGTATAACATTGGGGGAAGAGGATTGGGGAGATGGTGGAGGTAGGAGGGAAAGGAGTGATGAGAGCAAGTGCATCATTATATACTCTCAATCTTCAGTACTCGATTATGTAATCACTTCAATATATAGTTTTTAAAGTAAAACTAAATTATATTATAAGCCTAACAGGGTGATTGTTAACAATATTAATATATATAATCACATATTATCTTACTAAAAGTATTGTAATTAACTTACAAGTACAATGTATTACTTTTATGACTATTATAATCAATTAACTATTGTTACAAAGAACTTATAATATAATTTTAGCATATTATAATAAGAGTTAAGTGCTTGTATCTCACATGTAATGTTGTAATAATACTATTAGTAAGCTTACTTGCTCTAAAACATGTTTGTAGTTTAATAGAAACTTTGTATATTTCTTACATTTATATACAATCATTATAATTACATTACAAGTAAAATACAAGTATTATTTTACAATGTAATGCTTATGAAATCATTTTATTAGATTACTTTTGCTATTATTAAATACATTTGTTGCGACTTTTTCGTGATGGTACGTGGACGGTGGACCTCAACGACTTTCACCACATACCTACGTGATTTTACAGCAAGGGGCGCAGGAAGCTCTTGATTCGAGACGACTAGCTCCGGGACTTAGAGGCACGGCAGTTTACTGTAGCAACCATAAGCTATACCTTCAGTATTAAACATCATCTTGGCCGCCAGGCCAAGCAGAGAGTCGGAGGACGTAACATGACATAGAACATAGAATATTCGCGATCGTTTCGAGCAACACACATGCATATCGTAAGGCAACAGGTGCACAGTGGATGTCATGGTCAACATTCACGATATGAGCACAACCAGTAAATACAACCCAGGAGTAAAACTCGATAAAGAACGAATAATGGCAATACATTACATATCTACAGTATTGCGTATGCAGAATTGAAAGTCACTTCAAGCCAATCCATGTGTTAAAAAATCAAAGGCAGTTCATCTGCCAGAGGGCCGCCATTCCCAAAAAATACAGAAAAGATATAGCTAATTTGCATAGCTATGACAATAGCATCTCTGTGTGCACGAAGGCCCTCCAGCATGCCTGCAATGAAACTTTTCCAGAATGCTTCAGCCATAAGTTGGCTTTTATCCGATATATAGTCCTTCCCACGAATGGTATCTACACTCAAATACCGGATGCACCAAGCATTCGAGCCCAGAGGCATCAGATCTGCTAGTTCCCAACCAATTAGGCTGCTTATATTGTAGTTTTCGTCAAGCAGAATCTACTGATTCCTTCAGATACTTCGAATGTGTAGAAAATGATATTAAAGTGGCTTACATTCTGAGCATTGAGATCAATATGGCACAGAGCGAGTGGTAGGACTTTGAGTTGGCTGCATTCGGTGAGCAACAGCTGAATTTCTCCTTCAACGGCCCATACAAGATGTCTCTTTGTGTAAAATGTGCTTCGAGCGGGGAACAACAAAGAAATCGACGACGCTGTCACTGGATGTGTTGACGATGCATCGTGGCAACACTTTGCCAAGCTGGGATGCCACGTGGCAGTTCTGTTCGATGGTGCACTCACACTCTGGCCATATTTTACCCTTGACAAGCTTGGAGATGTAGGCGAAATGTGCCTTCGAATTCCTAACGGCGAAAGTACTGGGGACGATCTCGCCCAGCAGACCTCGTGCTAATGCAACCTTGGTCGTATCGATTTCATCATCTTTGAACTGGACGATGGCTTCACTACCGTCTTCGAGCGTGACGCATGTCGTCATGCTGAACATGCCTTTACTGTATACAAGCTTAGAATACTGTCTATGCCTCCCTTAACAAGTACCAATTCCCTCCAACTTTGGAAGTTCAGCATCAGGAAAAAGTCCATTTAAATATAATGAATTACAGTCCATTTAAAGAAATATTAGCATTTTATATACATTGTAATTCATATGTAAGGGTTAGAACACAACTATAAGGATAAAATAAGGTATATTAATGTATATAAAGACTCTAAGAGTGTTATAAATCATTACAATTCATTGAAAACATTATGATAACCTTACATTATAAGCTAAAGTATTATACTTAGATTATAACTTTGAAGACAGACTAAAATTCACCTTGTAAAAGATTTTATATTGTTTGTATAAGGCATTCTGTTAAGAAAGGGAAAGAGAGGTTATGTGAGAG